TTCTTTCTGCACAGGTGCCTTCTTGGGAGCTAGCTGTACCTGGAAGCGACTTGACACGCAGTCAAAGGTCCCCTCAGTCACATAGAGTGCAATCTGAGTCATGGCCAAATGATCGCTGTAGCGCAGATCCAAGTCTGTGGCCCAAACCTTGGGAGAGAAAGAGACCGGTCAAGCACAGCTTCTCTTTTAGACTCAAAGATAAACCTCTCGGCTTGAAGGTAGGATGGCCGTACTGCAGGGGACATGGCAGCTCAGGGGGATAAGACGTTGGTCTTGTCGATCGGAAAGGTTAGCAATTCGGCGGTTCGAATCCCTAGCGCCGCGTCACGGAGAGAGCTCCCGTTACTTGTCCCAGCAACTTCTGCCAACCTAGCCGTTCGAAAGCACGTCAAAAAGATGCAAGTAGAAAAACGGGGACCCCTTTGGTGGGAAGGTAACAGTGTTCCGTGCGCCTTCAGCGTTTAGTCATGCCGGCCACATGACCACGGAGACGCCTTCAGATAGCGCTTTGGCTCTTTGGCTTTGAAATGGAGATGAGCACCGCCCACTAGAGCTGGGAAACGACCAGCACATATTACGTGCAAGGGGAACCTTTACCTTTTACCTTTATATCTGAAGAGCACAAGAGGCACCGACAGCTGACGTATTGTCTGAAGTGGCTCAAACAATTTGTGAACCTGCCTTACATTTCGTATCAGCTTACAATCTCCTGATTGTCGGAGCGAATCGGTTCACTCACAGATGATCCTTGGAACTACCGGTTTGGACGAAGCAGGACGAACCGGTAGAATCCCACCACTGTGCTGCACCCTTAATTCCCTTAGCACTGTCTCACTTCTCATCTTTTCTCCTCCTCTCCTCTTTCCTACTATCTTCTCCTATCGGTTTCTTAAGATTTATCAATTGACCTATGACCTATTATTTGCTATTGATATGTACGGCGTAAGTTTATGCACCGGAGACGAATTTCTTGGGTGTCCAACTTGACCAATAAAAAATTCTATGATTCTATGGCTGACAACTGCAAGTTAAGATGGTTTGGGGGCGAATGTCTGAAGTTAAACTTGGAAGAAGGTTATCAGTGTGCCCAAAGAGGTAAGTACTTGTGTTGTAAACCAACAACAGTGCAAATGCCCAAGAAGGTGCCTATTTATGACTGCATCCATGGCCACCTTCATATTTTTTAATGTAACCATGACACGCTGTATATCAAATGACTGCAGCAAGTCATCTTCACTTTCAGTTGTTCTATCTAAAACATATTTATAGTCACATATTTGAAAGCTGGCTCATCCCAGAGAGAGCTTAAGAAACAAGCCATATATCAATTCTACAATTGGATAGGATTAGAAGCGGGCATAAAATAGACCAGGATCTTCAGGGGAACCACTCAGTGCTCTGCAATAAATCACCACATCTGTCTCAATTGAAACAAAATGACTCCACTGCCCTATTCTAGTAGGCTTGCTAAAAGAAGAAGAAGAAGAGGAGAAAGCTTGGAAAGTTAACTTTTTGTATTAAAGAACTATGAGGCTGTACAACCAAAGATGCCTGGGCTACACCTGCAGGGAACCTCCTCCTTCCTTCTATGGCAGTATTTCTCCACCGCGGCAACTGAAGGTGTGTGGATTTGAACTCCCAGAATTTCCCAGGCAGCCTTGCTGATTGGGGAGCTCTGGGAGTTGAAATCCAGACATCTTCGAATTGCCAAGGTGGAGAAACACCTTGTTTTAAGGGAACATCCAGCCATCCTTTTCAAAGATCTTCTCACGGCCTGGAAATACACCAATTTTGGCCATGACAAAGATGGACCAGTTCTATGTTTCTTTAAAAAGTTCCTCAAACAGATGATAACTGAAACAATATTCTTAATAGTCCCTGGGATTTAGGACAGGCTTGAATGTTGCAGACCGGCTGAAAATGTAAGAATGCAATGGTAGGTTTGGTAGGGCTCACTTTTCCATAGCCATTTATTCATGGTTTATATAAGTAACTCTGTTTCCTAGGCTTACACGACACCCTGAGTGATAAATTAAGCAGGCCGCCTGTGTTTTCATGACATCCAAGCTAACAAGTAGGTGGGTATGGTTTGGGGTGCCATTGAACAGAGGTAGAGAGGATTAAAACATGCTTCACAAGATGAGAGACAGCCAATACAGTCAGAGTGGCCAACATTTGGAAATTGAGATACAATTCAATAGGCAAACTAGAGGGGTAGAGAATGAAGGAGGAGGAGGAGCAGGAAGAAGAGGAAGAGGAAGAAGAAAAGGAAAAGGAGGAGGACGAATAGGTGGAGGAGGAAGAGGAGGTCAATCCATTAAAAACAAAACAAAACAAAACAAAATCAGTCCATCAGTTTCTCCCACCCACCCGCCATCAGAATTGATGAAGTTTCTTGAATGAGAAGCAAAATATTTTCTTCTTCCTCCTCAAGGGAAAAACAGTCCAATTGCCTTCTGAAGCCAAAAGCACCTTTGATTAGCTATGGGCACAGCTGCCATTTTTACTTCTGGAGAACTGAGCTTTGGCTGTGCACCTGGGCACAGGTTGTTCATTCCCAGGAGGGTCTCCTCTGTAAACAGCGGCCCTTTAGAAGCAAATCTCCCACAGAACGACTTGGACAAGCCACTGAATGGTAAATGGCATCATTATAAGGCTATTAAGGGGTCAGGCAGTCAAGGCTTCTTGCTAAACTGGAGCTAATTTCTGAATCATATTACAAAATAATGCCCCCTTTTTATAACAGGAAATAAATCATGTCAGAAACAGTTAATAATGAACTGTCAAATATCAGTTTTACTGTTAAATAACCCATTTGTCAACTTAAATATTTCCCATTGCATAAGAAAAAAAGAGGACCTTGGATCTTCTTTGGGTACAGTTCAGTGCCAATATTTCCTTCTATTTCACTTCTAATGTTACAGTGTTTTTCTCTAGCACTCCTCTTCTAAATTTTCCCCTACAGAGGTGCACATCCTTCGCTGGCCCTCAAAACCGCCATTTAACTAAAAAGAATACAAGAGAAAACTCTGCTGCGTAGAACCCAGGGCAACCATGCCAGGATCTCAATGCCCCCAGGAAGCCCCCAGTTGGTTAGGAACTCAACATTCTCTTCTCGTCTTCCCTGACAACTGATTGCCAGAGGTTTCTTGCCCTGAGACGGAATGGATTATATGATGTATTTTGATGCTTTTCTTTTAACTATTCAAGAATTTCTGTCCTCTGTTTTATAGGCATACCCGTTTCTAGGGCTAGTTAGTAGATCCGAGTTGGAAAAAAAGTTGACCACTAGATGGCAGCAATGAGACACTGAGAAATCAAAGCTTTGCTGACCTCTAGCAACATTCATATTATTGCAGACAAATCCCAGCCATCCATACCTGCCCAACCCCCTGCTGGCTCCAATAGTTTTCTAATCTGATCCAAAGGCCTGGGAGTTGGGCTGCCTGGAGCTCTAGAACATTCAAAGCAACATATGGGAAGAAAATCAGAATACCTTAGAGATACGAATGACAGAGTTGTAAGGGTCCCATCTCCTCCCCTAGCAGGAGACTGTGTCCCAATTCAGACAAATGGCTGTCGATCTCTTCTTAAAAACCTCCAGTGACGGAGCACCCACAGCTTCTGGAGGTAGGTCATTCCACTGGTTCATTGTTCTTACTGCCATAGGCTAAACAACCAAACAGTTCTCACTGTCAGGGGATTTCCCTTCAGTTCCTTAGGCTGGATTTTTTAAAAACGATCTTCCACCAGTTACTTCTTGTTTTGCCTTCAACTGCTTTGGAGAATAGGGTCAACCCCATCTTCTCATTCCCTCGAGTACCGGAAGACGGTTATCATGCTACCCTTGGCCCTCACACTTTCCTGATGAGATGTTTGAAAAATGCACAATATTGGTCACATTCAGATTCGTGCACTCTGCAAAACTGGCACCGTTCCGCAGATTTCATCCCCCCAGCTAGATCTATAGAGCCTTCTATTTCATTTCTTCCAACATCAATCCTTAATTGTTGTTTTTTTAGAACTTTGGAGTCTTATTTAACAGGCATCATCATCTGGGTTGTTCAATTCAGTGAAACAATTTTGTGTGTCATTCCCTATCGGGCTATTAAATTGCATTTCTTTTGAGAAAAAAAAATTCAACTGCCCCCACCCAAAAAAAGGGGCGTTCACTCAGCTTTGCCAAATATGAGCTTATCAGAGGCCGTTAGATAGTTGTGTCTTCTTTGCCAGTTACATGCAACCAATCTCTCATCTGACTCATAACTGGGGAGGATCGTTTTTTGCTGGAAGTAAAACAACCAACACAGAGTAAGTAAATACTGCTTGTATCTCACAGAGAATTTAAAGGCCCAATGCAGGTCACCGCAGCCTTTGCCCCAAGTGCTTTTACCAAAGACCAAGGGGGACAGATCAGTTTCTATTCTCTGGTGAGAAGGATTAATCTAGTTCAGGGGTCTCCAACCTCGGCAACTTTTAAGATTTGTGGACTTCAACTCCCATAATTCTTGAGTTGAAGCCCACAAGTTGCTGGCTGGAGAATTCTGGGAGTTGAAGTCCACAAGTCTTAAAGTGGCCAAGTTTGGAGACCCCTGGTCTAGCTGTTGACACTTGGTGGAAAAACAAAGTCAGCCCAGCAACTGGGGTCCCTTTCATTTGTGGGCAAAAAAAAAGGAAGACCTCGTGAGAGCTTTTGAGCTACAGAGCCCCAAAGCAAGGCGCTCAACCCTGACTTGTGCCCACTGGCTCCTTCGTAAACCGAACCCCCCCTATCAATAACGATATCTACTCTGGGCTCCTAAATCCAAACCCATTTCTGCACCCTTCTTAGGTGGGCCTGTGACGTATAGGGAGAAAGGAGAACAGCCTCTTGGTTAACGGAGATATTTACTCCTCTGCAGGAAATCCAGTTTTGCTGTTGATGCCCACCGAGTGTGATATTGATCTCAAGATGCCTTAAGCAGGGAGCATTTCGGCTGGCATCGTATTTCTCTCCCATCACTGTCGGGCCATAACTCTTTTCTTTAAGTCTTTGTGCTGGCATCCATCACCGCCCGAATCAGCTGCAGGCTCCTGAGCCTTATATTTGAAGTTCTCCCTCCGCCCCCATTTTCTCTCTCATCACTTCACTCTCTGTTTTTTGCTTCCTTCCTATGCCAAAGGCCCACCAACTCCCCCCATGCACCTTAAACACCTTCTCCATGCCTGTCGTCAGCCCTCATCCATACTGTTTTTGCCATTGTCA